GAGGAGGAGGAGGAGGAGGAGGAGGAGGAGGAGGAGGAGGAGGAGGAGGAGGAGGAGGAGGAGGAGGAGGGAGGAGGAGGAATATGCCTTTTCTGTAATTGGCTCCTCCTGTGAAGCCCTGGGTGTCTCCAAGTTCACACTCCACCTGCCTGCTTCCTACCCACAGCCCTCTGCAGTGCTGGGGCCTGGATCTGATCTGCTGCTGACCTGCCCCCCAGCCCAGCGCAAGTCCTTCTGGGGAGGTAATCTGTGCCACTGAGCACCCGACTTGTCACCCCCCGCCCCTCGGATGCTGAAACACCAATGGTCCTTTCTTGTGTTGTTTCTCTGTCGGGGTAAAGAGGTGTCCTTGTGGCCTGCTATCCAGGAAACTGACTTAGCAAGCAAAGAAGAAAGCCATCAGTCAGAGACCACATCCATCTCAGCCCTGGGAGTCTAACCAGGAGGTTGACATTCTCACGAAAGGGCTGGTGCCAGAGTAGTGCTCAGCCCTGGACCCTGGGTTCAATTCCCGGCATCAATGCCAATGGAAATCAGACACAGGGCTCAAGATCAAGGAGTGCAAACGTTCAATTTGTGAAAGGAAGACTTTTGGAAAGTTAACACTGGATGAGTTCTCCCTTCTGAAAAGTCTGTCAGACTAGGAAACTGGAGTGTTGAGAGACGCAGTGACTCAGCTGGAACTGGGCTCCTGGGCTCCTACCTCCAGGACAGGAGTCCATCCTGTGCCTGCTGCCTCTGGCAAAATAAAGTAGCTTGTTTTTAAATCATCAGATAAAAACGAACTATGCAGCCCTTTACACTTCTGTCTGGAAATATTCGGTTGAAACATCAGAATGAGCGAATCGCAAGATGAAATTATAGTGGATAGATGCAGGGTTATTGGAAGCAGCTCTCTGCCGCCCTGCAGGGAGAAAGAGAGACGTGGAAGAGGGAGAGAATCAAGAGGGGGGCCAAATGTCTGGGTTATATGGTGAAGGGCCTCTGGGAGAGGGGAAGCCTGCCCCTGGGCTGGGGAATTCAGGGTAGAGGGCAGGGCACGGCAGCCACACCCGGCAGCAGGTAGGATGTCTGAAACCAAACAAATACAATTTTGTAAATATATGTAACATAGTAAGATGTTGTAATGTACATTAGGGCTTTTGTTTGTTTTGTCTCTATTTAGTCTTGGCTGTCCTGGAGCTTACTATGTAGACCAGGCTAGCTTCAAAGTTACAGAGATCTTCCTGCTTCTGCCTCCCAAGTGCAGGGATTAAAGGCCTCACCACGCCCAGTTCTCGGGAAATATTTTTAACTGACAGATAATAATCCTGTCTTTTGAGCAGGGAGTGTGGCTATAATCACAGCACTCAGAAAGCAGGGACAGGAGAGCTCTGTGGGTTCCAGGCTAGCCTGGTCTGCATGGTGAGTTCCAGGACAGTCAGGACTAAATAGAAAGAGTCTATTTAAAAAAAAAAAAAAAAAAGTGTGTATTTATGGACCTAATGTCATGTTTTGATCTACATATATAGTACAAAAAGTCTAATGTAGCTAATTAAACTTTAGCCAATCCACTGTGTGAGAAACTTAAAAATCTATTCCAGCAGCCTTGAAATATCCAACAAATTAAATGTAGTCACTGCCAATATATTACTAAAACTGATTTCTTCAATCTAAGTTTAACTTTGTATCCTTTGGCCAAAAGCTTCCCTCTCATCACTTGACAAGACTTTTTTTTTTTTCTTTTGCGCTGTCTCTTTTATGTTTCTTTGGTGAATCCTCGTGTCTCAGGTTTCATACTGCACAGTGGTGTGTCTGTACTATTTTGATTTTTCTTCTCTAAGCTACTGTGTCTCCCGGCCAAAGGCAAATCAAGACAATGAAGAGTCTTGGTGACCTTGGTGGGAAAGAACTCATGGGATTTCGGTGTGAGGGGTGCCAAGTCTTCCAGCCTACCAGTCAATTAAAAGGAGTCTCTCTCCCCCGGGGGTTGTTAACCAATCGAGGAAAGGAAAGATCAATCTCTTTTCTCCGTCACTCCTGTGCAGGGAGGCCGCTAACCAGTTAGAATCTGCCACTAGCAGCCATTAGGAAAACTGGCCAATCAGGCCATCCTTGTTCCATGGCCTGGTCGGAAGAGGCCGGGGCCGATTGGAGGGTTGGTTCCGGCTCCAAACCCTTTCCTCTCTGGGCCCCAGGTCCCGCGCTGTGGAGAAAGAGCCCTTCCCAAGCCCAGGGTTCGGAAGGTCCCCAGACGCTCAGCTAAGCTTCTCCGGGGTCGCCCCTCCTTCACCTGCCTCAGTCCACTTTCTGTCTTGTCCCTGCTCTTTCATTATCTAATTTTCCTTCTTCAAACCTTGTCGCAGGGGCGCTCAGGATTTTAAGCCTCCTCCCAGGTTACCCATCAGAATGTCCACTAACTGGTTCCGCATGATTGATGTGGTTGAAAAGTTGTGCTACTTGAGTGTCTTTCAGGAGGTAACTGCAAGGATCTTACAATAAACAGTCTCTCGGGAGCGGGGCAGAATTGAATTGCAATGATCCTAGCTATAATACCGACGATAATGATTATGGCGATTATTGAACTTTTACTGAGTACCAAGCCCTTTGCTAAAAGCTTCATGTACATTATTACCTCGAGATAAGCTGCAGGGTAAGTGCTGTTATTATGCCCAATTTTAGGAGGAGGGGCGAACGACTTAAAAGGGTTAAACAGCTTCCCCGAGGTCACACGTGATTTGGGAACCCGGGTTGGTCAAGCCCCGAACCCCGGCACAGGGGACAACGAACCCGCAGACTGCAGGCTGCAGGCTGCGGCTACTCCTCCGCCCCGCCCTCCTTCGGGCTGCGGCTCCTGCCTCTGCGGGTTCGAGGCTGGGAGCCGGAAGGAATTCAGCGTCTGCGCTCGGAAAATACCTGTTGATTGCCAGGGAGCGCGCTGGCCCGGCCCGGGGGCACCGCTGGCGGGGAGGGGGGGGGGAGGGAGGGAGCCCCGCGGTGAGGGAGGGAGGGAGGAGCGGCCGCCCCTCCCCCCGCCCTCCCCTCCCCCGCCGGGGCTCGGGGCCATAAAAATGCAGATGGAGGCGCGGTGTGAAATAACGGGCCCGTATAAATCCCTCTGCCGCCCGCCCGCAAGATGGATTGTCCGCATTGAAATTCCTCCGCGAGGATAATTAAACTCGGGGCCTCATCCGGGCAAAATTACATCCCCGTAATGGCGCCGCTCGGGGTCCCGGGAAATTGCTCCGCGGGCTTTCGGCGGCGGGTTTTATCGCCGGCCGGGGTGCGCCTGGCTGCGGCGCGCCTCTCCTCCGGGACCGTAAAGCTGCTGCCGTGATTTATCCTCCCCTCTCCCAAAGCCGATTAAATGGAGGAGCGCGGGGCCGGGGCGCCGCGGGGCCGGGCCGGGGGGGGCGGCGCAAGGACGGGGCCAAGGAGGGGAGGACAAACGGCCCCTCGGAGGGCGGCGGATTTGCCTCTATTTACAGCCGCGGCGCTCTTTATTTATGTTGTTCTTCGCGGGGGCCTGGCGAGCTCTCCCGCCGCACGCACGGACGGACGGACGGCCGCGGGGCCTCCTGCAGGCCCCGGGGCGGGGGTTCGCGGCCGCGTGTGCCGCCTCCCCACCCGCACGCGCTGCCGCCCTCGTGCTCCCCGGCGGGGACGGCCGCGGCCTGGGCTGTTAGCCCGCAGACGCGCCCAGGGCGACGGGCAGCCCGGGGCTCCCGACGTGGCTGCCCCCTGCTGCGCCGTAGGCGCCGAACCCCAGTGCCTGCTGCAGGCTCCACGCCACTTCCGAGGGCGCTGGTTTGCCCGGCTCGGTGACTGCTCGGGAAACGCCCTCGAGCCCGAGACCCCAAGTGCTGCGCGCGCCGCAGCGCCCGCCACGTCGCGGACCGGCCTTCCCCGCCGTTGGGCCCTGCGCGCACGGCGGGCGCCTTTTGTGGTTGCTCTGGTTGAGCGCCAGGTGGCGCGCTTGGTGGTGGTGCTGCGCCGCCAGCCTGGCAGGGGGCGCTGTGGCGCCCGGGCGGAGCCCCTTGCTCCGTTCGCTCTGGCCGCGCGGTAGCGAGCGCGCGTGCGCAGAGCCCTCTTTCCCGCTCGCCGCGCCCCCGCCCCTCTCCGTCTTCTCTACCCCGGGAGCAGGTAAGGCCTCGAGGCCTCGCGTCCTCCTCGTGCCGCGCAGGCGCGCGCAGCGGTCCCCCTGCGAGGACGCGTGGCCGCGCTGACCTGACTAGCTCCCACCCGGGTCCTCGCGCCCCCGCGGCCGCCGGCGTCCCCGCGCCGAGTGCGGCCCCTTCCTCCCGGCGGTGACCTCTAACCGCGCGGGCCTGGCGCCATCTTGGCCGTCTCCGGGGGCTGCGGGCTCTGCGGCCCGCCACAGGCAGATGCAGGCGTGCGGCCGCGAGCCGGGGCTGCTGGAAGCTCTCTGCTCGCCCTCGCGCCTCTCCCATTGTCATAGTCCCGCAACCTCCCCTCCTAACTCCGTCATCCTGAGTCAGAGTAGCCTTTGCCTCTTACAGTCTGCAGACTGTGAGCCGGGGGACCTCTGGCGCTCAGACGAGCTACCTCGTCGTCCAAAGCCACCACCTCCGCTAATCGGCATCCCTCACTTTGCAATAAACTGAACGTGGTAGAGAGGAGCAGAGCGGGCAAACGGCCCGCTGCACAGGTGGCTTGGGAAGGCCAGGGCAGAAGGCCTGTGTCCTTAGACACTGGTTGCTACCCAGTCTCGGCCTCCAGTGACAGCCCTGACGTGCTAGTGAAGTTGGAAGTAAAATCTTCAACGGTGGGCTAAAAGTGGAGCTTTCTATTAGGCCGCAAGCCCAGATGATGGGAGAGGGCCAAGCTTTAGAGTCTCTACCTGCCAGGTTTCCTGTCATAGGCCCCTCAGATATTGCCAGCGAGAGGGAAAGGTTTAAGGAACAGTTAAGCAGGGAGGCCATCGCTTAGGAGTTGTGATTGTGGAAGGTTGCTTTGCTTTGGCGTGATCTTGATCTGGTTAGGGGATGCTGGAAGGACTTGACGGTTGATCCCTTCTTGGGTTTATTACGAGACAGCAACGAATTATGTTATTTACATGTGTTAATTTGTAAATTATCAAAGAGTTACGTGTCGAGTACACCGCAGGCAAGCAGTGGGTTGGGCAGTACCTAGAGTATTGCAGAACTGCCTTCTGTAAGTGATGGCCTTAAGACTGTTTGGGGGAAAGTGTCTTCCTTCTTGTTTTGGTTTCTTGAAGATTGTCTCTATAAAAGCCCACTTTGGCCTCAAACTCGTGATCCAACAGGATGTCTTACTGGCCTAAAGCTCATAAACTCAGCCAGCTTCAAGCATCCCCCTGTGTCCATACACACCAGCACTGGGGGTTACAGTAAAAAGTCATTGCTTTGTGCACACACACACACACAGTCTGGTGCAGCAGGCACTACCCACTAAGCCATCACCCCAGATCATGCCTCCCTTATTCTAAAAGCTTTAAAGAAGTGTTGGGTTTTGACTCAAAAAAAAAAAAAAAACAAAACCTGAATAGTTGAGCAGCAGATTTGGTAGTAGAAAAGACAAGACAAGACGTTATTTGTTCCAGGGTTGCATTGTGTGTCCTGGAATTCCCTAGGTCGACTGGAATGCCTTTAAATCATAGGTCTGCTTGCCTCTGCCTCCTGCGTGCTGCCAGCACAGATGTGTTCCCCATATCTAGCAAAAAGTAAAGTTTTAGAAAGAACAAGACTTGAAGACAGATACTGATCTAAAAGTAAAATTCAAGCTTTTACAAGTAGCATGCCTACCTTTGTACAGGTTGAGTCCGGTTTACTTAAGGAGTAGTGTGGAACAGGCCTGCACTTCGAGTTAAGTCTTAGTTTTTGGAATAGTGACTGACGAGTGAGAGAAGGAGCTAAGGCTAGAGCATGTCAGCTAGTGTGCACTGAGGTCCTGGGTTCTACCTCCATGAGCCCTCCCAAAGGGAAAGGGCAGCGTTCCAATCCATTGACACCCCTTCTGTAGTGTTAAGGCTATGTCGTTGCATACCTTAGATAGAAAGATTATTAGAGTTGGGCCTGCACCCTTTTAACCCCAGAACTCAGGGACGCAGAGGCAGGTGGATTGCTGTCAGTTCAAGGCCAGCTGGCTCTACAAAGGGAATCCAGGACAGTCAAGGCTGCACAAAAAAACCCTGTCTAGAAAAATGAAAGAAGAAAAAAGATACTTGGAAAAGTTGTTTAAAATATTGGCACCAGAGATCTTGACTAGGAAGATCTAACGGGGAGCCCAAGAACACACTTTTTTTTTTTTCCATTGTTTTCAGGGGCAGTTAAGAGCACCTGCTGCTCTTCCAGAGGTCCCAGGTATGGTCCCAGCACATGGTGGCTCACAACCATCAGTAACTCCAGTTCCAGGAGTCCGGTGGCATCTCTAACCTTGGCACTTGTGGCACTAGGCATGCGTGTGGTGCACATACACACATACACGCATACATACGTGCGTGCATTCAGACAAAACATAAACCTGAAAATGTCTTCGATTGCTTTATTGTGTGCCATGGTGTACGTGAGGGCAGCAGACAGCAGCTCGTGGACGAGCCTTCCATCAGGTGCTCCGGGAAGCACACTTGTTTCATCAGGTTTATAGGGCAAGTGCCTTTATCCTCTGAGCCATCTTGCTGGCCCGGTGACGGGTGCTTTTAGTGTATATGCTGCCTCTCAGATAATTCTGGTTCAAGTGAGCTCGATTCGATTGGGGGAAAACACTGTCCTAAATCTTCAACTCACCTATTCCTTTGGATTTTGAGGACAAAAAAAATGTAAAACCCCTTGCTGGACTGGTGAAATGAGTTTACAGGTGATGCTAGTTAGAGTAATGCCAGTTTCTCACTGACTGGCTGCATCACGTGAAAATATTTTAAGTTGTGAAATGCTTCAGATAATCAATAAAAAGGTTGTTGGAAAACTGCCAGTGCGTTTGCCATCTAAGAACTCCCAGAAGTGTAGGGCTGTATAGGGCTGGAGGTGTCCAGCACTTAGGCCAGTGTGTGGTCTGGGGTCCAGCCCTACTGCTCCCCAGCGAAGAGGAATACCAGTTGTCTTTGCTTTTTAACAAAGCTTGCTCTAGCTCAGGCTGTTCTGGAACTTGGGCAGTCTTGGCCCTGCCTCCTGAGTGCTGGGATTACAGGTTAGAGTCACCCACATTGCTAAAATTCCATCTTTCCTAGGCCCAGACACTGAGGCCAGGGAAGATAGGCTTTTGAACCTAAAAGAAAAGAATTTAAGCAAGGGATACTGAGAAAATTACTTGGACAATCCCAGATCATGAAGTTGTTGAGATGGGTGATAGGTCTTAAAGCAGAGAGCAAGTGACTGCTTGTCCAGGCCACCAGAAAGTCACTTGATTTCAGGGTTCTGGTGTCGTCTGTAGTCCTTCATTCGGCTCTCTGAGCTAACTAAGCTTCCTAGAGCTGCTCCTCAGGTGTGGGATGAAGTTAGCAAGCAAGGAGTTGACCGTGCTGCTTCTTATTTCCAGCTCTCCTGCCTTGGCCCCTCACCCCTGAAAATGTATGCCTGCTCCAAGTTCGTCTCTGCCCGCTCCTTGGTGAGTGCATTTTCTGGAAGAATTTTGTGTTTATGTATTTACTTATTTTTCTGAGAGAATTTTAAAGGACACCTTGTCTCTTCATATTAGAGAGTGCAGAGGTGTCCAACCTTTCGATACAGTAACATGACCTTGTCATGTACAAATGTGTTGGGGTGCCTCCACCTCAACACCGGTATGTCCAACCTGCAGCCTGTGGCAGGTGGATATACATACCTCTTAGACGTGGTTCTTCACAGATGTCCTGGGGGAAGGTGAATTAGATTCTGGGAAAGGCCTTTTGCTGTAGTTCCTGGCAGGAGTGAATGTTTGCTAGGCATTCCCCTGGCCCAGATTCTCTAGAGGCCAGTTAGCTTACATCCAGATCAGGTCATTTCACTGTGTTTGTGGCATTCGAGCCCAGCCAGACATGGTAAGCAAACAGCGTGCTGCCAGCGTAGACAGGGTATATATTATATACGGGCTCTTGTCTTGAGTGAGCCTTCGGGACTTCATTCTGGGAAGTCAAGTCTGGAAAGGAAGCTTCCATACCCTCTGGAAAAGTGTTAGCCTCGGAAGCAGAATACACACAAAAGGAAGTTAATGTTAGAGGGCCAGGGGTATAGCCCTGTGGAGGATGCTTGCCTAGCATGTGCAAAGCCCAGGCTTTGATTCAGTCCTCGGAACAGAAAAGGAAAAGGAAAAAGCCAGACAGAGTGGCTCGTGTTTGGAACAGAGAACTCGAGAGGTGAGGCAGGAAGATGGGCTGGCACAGACTCGACACCAGCATAGGCTACACCGAGATCCTACCAAGAAAAGAAAAGGTCTGTGCATGGCAGTTCTGGGTATAACAGCCTGCCTGTCAGCTACATGTGTCCTGGAGACACTGTCTAGGGGCGGCTCAGAAAGGCTGTGGTCTGCCGTGAATCTTGTTTTCCAGAGGTTGGATATATGTGTTCAGGGACGGATACCCTACCCTTGGCTTTCTTGCTGCTACAGTAAATGTTAAGTGAAGCACGTCCTTCTGTGGCCCAGGTTTCTTCTGATTTGCACAGCAGAAGCCTCCTATGGCTTCTAAAAGGAAGCATGCTTTCCTTCCTTACAGCAGGAGAGTGGAGTGGTCCTGCACACAGAATCTGCTGCCCCCAGAGAGGGGCTGCGTGTGTGAAGAGCCGGTGCCTGAGACTCTAAAGCAGGAGGGTTGCTTGAACCTGGGCTGTCAGGGCCAGCCTGGGCAACACAGCAAGACTTTTGTTTCTTTGGGGTTGTTTGTTTGTTTGTTTGTTTGTTTTTAAGATTTTCTGTATGAAATTATTTCATGCATATGAGTATTCTCCTGCATGTGTTATGTGTGTGCCCTGTGTGTGCCTGGTACCCAAGGAGATGAGAAGAAGTTACTGGATCCCTTCAGCTGGAGTGATGGGTGGTTGTGAGCCACCATTGGCTGGGAATTGGACCTGGGACTTAACAGATGCTTAACCACTAAGGCGTCTCTCCAGTCCCTCTTTTGTTATTGTTTTGTTGTTTCAAGACAGGGCAGCCCTGGCTGGCCCGGAACATGTAGTGTTCCACCTTCCTTGGCTTTCTGAGTGCTGAGAGCAGAGGTGTCTACCTGTCTCTTAAACCGTGTTTGCTTGATGAGAGAGTGATTCAAGGTTCTGGCTGACTTTGAAACAATGGAAGGGTGTCAGAGAGTGTTCTGGCCTGCTTCTGAAGGCCTCCACAGTCTCCCTGACCTCCTGCCCATGTCCTTCCACCAGATCAGGAACACACCTCAGCTGCTCAGTCGCCCTCTCTCCGCAGTGCAGTTGAAGCGACCACAGATGCCAACAGATGAGGTACCTGGGGTGGAGCTGGGACTGGTTTGCTGTGGAGGGTCATCTCCCAGAACCAGTAGGGGGCATGCAGAGGACAATCACCACACGGACATTCTGAAGGACCCAGCCTTTGGCTTGAGGTGGAAATGGAAGGCAGCTAATGCTCTAGTTAGCAGTTAGCACTGGCAGCTCTGCTTTGCTGTGCTCTGTCAACTTCCATTACTAGGCCTAGTCTACTGACTAGGTGTTGGGTGTCAAGAACAGGCTCCTGCCTCAGACTCAACACTTCTAGACCATACATGATCATGAAGTCATTTGAACTCCACCTCTTACAGTAAAAAGTTCTCTTGCCAGCACTGTAGGGAGGTTTTCAGAGAAACAAATGCTTTTCCATTTGGGGAGGAACATCAGATTTGACAGCCCAGCAGTTTGAAATAGTACAATGTTTCCAAAGCAAAACAGTGGGTTGATAACAAAACCCTGCCTCTGTCTGCATCTTCTTCACAGGGCGGCAGCAGCTTGGCAGTGCAGCAGCCTCTGACCTCACTCATCTCTAGCCACAGCTTCCACACCAGTACCGTTTCAAGGGACATCGACACGGCCGCCAAGTTCATTGGGGCCGGGGCTGCTACAGTTGGGGTGGCTGGCTCTGGGGCTGGGATTGGAACTGTTTTTGGGAGCCTCATCATTGGCTATGCCAGGTAAGTTACCTGGGCCATCTGGCTCTGCTGTGTGTTCCAAAGGACAGGTCTAGAACTGCACTCTCCGGTACAGAGGCCGCTGGTGTTGTTACTTTTTATTTAAATATCTGGGTTTTGTTTGTTCCTTTGTTTGAGACAGAGTCTTGCTGTGTAGCCCTGGCTGCCCTGGAACTCACTCTATAAACAGGATGGCTTAGATAAGCCTACCTCAACCTCCCAAGTGCTGCCTTATTCAACTTTTAATTAATTAAAAACACAAGCTAAGCTAGGCACGGTGGCACACACCTTTAAACCAGCACTCAGAAGGCAGGGGCTGGTGACTCTGTTGATGGGAGGGTAGCCTGGTGTACAGGGTTAATTCCAGGATGAGATACACAGGGAAATCCTGTCTGGGAAAAAGAGTAAGGGGTTGGTAAGATGAGTCACCTGACAACAGCTTGTCCAGTGCTCTCTCCCTCACATGGGCGTGGCAGCACACTCGAGCACACACTTGTGTACACATCTACACGTAATAAATACTAATTTTTTTCTCATATCACCCTAGCTCACAGAGCTCTGCCTGTCTCTGCCTCCTGAATGCTGGCATTAGAGGCATGTACAGCCACACTTTGCTTTAATTTTTTTTTTAATATAAAGACTACAAGCTAGGTATGATGACTCCTATAATGCCAACAGTTATGAGATAGAAGCAGAGCAGTCAGAAGTTCTGACTGGGTTAGCCTGGGCTACATGGTAAGTTCAGGCCACCCTAGTCTATATGAAGCCCTGTCTCAACATAGAATTGAGGTTTTCCATTCCTCTCTTGTGCAGTTTCAAGTGCTTAGGAGTGGAGTAGCCTTAGTTAAATGCAGATCAAAGCTGTTTTGAGCAGCCATAGTGAAAGGCAGAGCCTGCCAGGCCAAGCCTGTGGGCTGCATTTAGACCTGTTTTTCTGTGGTTGGGTTAAAATTTCATTTTTTGAGACAGGGTCTTAACTGTGTGGCCCTGGGTACCTCAAGTCCTGCATCCCAAATGGTGGGATTACCACCTAGTTTTTACCTTCTTTAAAGTATTTTTAGCTAGCTAGCTCTTTCTTTTTCTCTTCCTCTCTCTCTGAGATTTACTTAGTTATTTATACAATGTACACATGCATGCCAGAAGGGGGCACCAGATCTTACTGTAGATGGTTTTGAGTCACCATGTGGTTGCTGGGAATTGAACCCAGGGCCTCTGGAAGAGCAGACAGTGCTCTTAAGCTCTGAGCCGTCTCTCCAGCTCAGGGTTTAAAGTGCTGGCTTGATAGGAATCTGTGCTCCATCACATGACATGCACAGTTATGCTTTCACTCTAGAATAAATTTTAGGACAATAGACTCCGAGTTCCAAAAGGCCTAAGGTGAAAACTCTGGCCCTTCACAGAAAAGGGTTGCCCCTTCTGAGCTGGCACTCAGTTGGTGACGTTTGCCACCTCTCTGGGGGTTCCCTCTGTCGCTCTGGGACAGCTGCCTCTGCTTCCAGCCCCACTGGTCCCAGACACCTGGGACTACATCGTCTACAATTTCTGGACAAGTCACTGAGAGCTAAATTAACCCTCTAGAGACCAGCAAGTTATCCTAATGCCTGGGGAAATAGGGTTCTTTTTTCAGAATTTGCATTAAAGAGGAAGCCTGAGTACGATGTCCGCAATTCTGCTAAGAGTTTGTGTGTTTGTGTTGATTTACCTAACCCATAAGACTTCCATAGGTACCAGGATAAGGAAAATGAAAATTATATATTGTCTTTCAAACTTAGGACATAGTTGTCCTGTTTTTATTCATATCATAAATACCATGGCTACTTGCACCATCTTGAATCCCAAAATCCAAGCTTTGGTGGCACTTGGGAGTCAGGCTCAGGTGAATCTCTTGAGTTTGAGGCCAGCCAGGTCTACAGATCGAGTTTCACAACATTCTCCAGATCGAGTTTCACGACAGCCAGAGCTGCACAGAGAGACCCTGCATCAAAAACCAAAACCATTAATTAATAAAGAATAAAAAAAATGCATCAAAAAAGAAAGAAAGAAAAAACCAAAACCATTTAAAGACAACAACAACAAAAAACTTGAATGTTTTCAGATGACCAAGGAAAGTTAGCCCTTTGCCTCTCCTACTTTCTGGAGCAGTGTTATGCCCATAGAGTCCTGGGTCACAGGATGTGAACGCAGCCCATCTGCAGTTTGCTACTGTGTCCTATTAGGGCTGTGTCTCCTTCCTGCTCTGGCCCTGGATGTTGCGTATGCAGCCTGTGGTTCTAAGTGACTCTGATAGGGAGAGCCACCGGGAAGGTGTGTGCACATCCACCATGTAACAGCACCCGAGACTGTCCCCCTCTAACCCTCTGTTGACATCTTAGGGCTAGAATTCGGGTACAGTGGGTTCTCCCTCCATGGATCTTTTTATAAATAAATGTGCGCCTTAGACATTGGCCTTTTCCTTGTGTGCACCAGAAATTCAGTCTTCTCTCCTCTTTCCCAGGAACCCTTCCTTGAAACAACAGCTCTTCTCCTACGCGATTCTGGGCTTTGCCCTCTCAGAGGCCATGGGGCTCTTTTGCCTAATGGTGGCCTTTCTCATCCTCTTCGCCATGTGAAGCAGCTGTTTCCACTTCTGCCTCCCACAGCTCTTTCGTGTCCCGTCTGCCCTGTGCGCTCCTTGTCCTGAGCCCGCCAGGAAGTCTTGGGGAAGTGCTTGGCTCGGGGTTTGACAGAGAAGACAAATAAATGCTGTATTAATAAGATGTTTCTTGAGTCTCCTGTGTATGTTTCTTTCCCACACTTGGCAGAGTGCCTTGTTTAGAGTACAAGGCCAGGGTAGTGATGGTTCTAAACTCTGCAGGGATCTGGCTGTGTTCGTTTTAGTTGTTTTTTTTTTTTTTCCTTTAAGATTTATTTTATGTATGTGGGTGTTTTGTCTGCGTGTCTGTCTGCACACCAGGAGAAGGCATCAGATCCCATGGGAATACAGTTACAGATTGTTGTGAGCTGCCATGTGGTTGCTGGGATTGAACTCAGGTCCCCTGCAAGAGCAGCCAGTGCTCTTAACTGTTGAGGTTAGCCTGGGCTACGTGAGACTGTCTCAGATCTGAGGCTAAATGGGAAACTGAGGTGGGCGATGATGTGAGGTTCTGGCCTCTACATGTGTGCACATACAAGTCTACACAAAAGGCACCTTCCCGTCCTCCCTGACTTAGGGACTGTGCTCAGGGGTCGAGAGGAGTCTATCTGAGGTTTGGCAGCAGCTAACTTCTGGGCTGTGGGACTGACTTCTGTCTCCCGGCCCCTCCCTTTGGTTTATTCCCTCGAGTGTGAACCGTGGTGGGAGGCCTTCCTGCCCGACCTTCCCTTCCAATCAAGTATATGCTTTTCCCTTCTTAATCCTAGGACTGAGGTGAGGTGAGCCGACCCCTTTGGGGAGAGCAAAGCTTTCTGGCCCATGTGATTTTCATGAGATGGTTCTGTAGACATTTGACAGATTTTCTCAGGAGTCACGGTAACTGGGTCGTCAGCTGAGGACCCTAGAGACGTGTGGGGTGAAGGCGTGTTGTGTTCAGTATAGAGTAACGAATTTAAAAGCAGATTTTTAAAGATCTGTCCAACTTCGTAACCTTGGTTTCTGCTTGGCCTGGCTTTCGAAGAGCCCATGATTTGAAATCAAGGTGCTCAGGAGTTGGTGTCTGTGTAACACTAACCGGTTTGTTTTTCTTTTTTTTAAAGATTTATTTATTATGTATAGTGTTCTGTCTGCATGGCCAGAAGAGGGACCAGATCTTAATGTAGGTGGCTCTGAGCCACCATGTGGTTGCTGGGAACTGAACTCAGGACCTTTAGAAGAACAGCCAGTGCTCTTAACCTCTGAGCCATCCCTCCAGCCCCACTAACTGGTTTTAACCGGTAACTTTTCAAGACTTGTGCTTTTCCCATCGGTAACCAACAGTGCTTCTCGCCCCAAGAGCCATGCAAGGAGGTATGAAGACACTTGGAGTGTTCAGAGAGGACAGTTGTCAAAATTCAGTATGCTGATTTTAATGCTTTCTCATTCTTCATGGGCCTTGCTGCCTATTTGAGCCATTTTCTAGGTAGCTTTCCCTTTTGGTTGACATAAGGAAGAGAAGTTTTTTAGTTTGACAGAAAAGTTTCTTCAGGATTGAGCCAGGGATGCTGCAGGCAAAGACTTGCTTTCCTGTTAAAGCCTCAGTAGAAGTAAATGGTAAAATCATCTAAATGTTAAGCTGGGTGTGGTGGTGCACGCTTTTAATCCGAGCATCCAGGAAGAAGCAGAGGCTGGCAGATCCCTTAGTTTGAGAACAGCCGGGTCAGGAAGGAAGGAAGGAAGGAAAGAAGGAAGGAGGGAGGGAGGGAGGGAGGGAGGAAGGAAGGAAGGAAGGAAGGAAGGAAGGAAGGAAGGAAGGAAGGAAGGAAGGAAACGAAAAAGAATCACCCAAATGTTACATAGCAGTAAGGAGGCGCCCTACCCCAGCACCACAGGATGGCTTTGTTAGTGTAAGACTTTCTCACAAGGTCATCAAGCGTGATCAAACCACAACCAGCAATACCTGCACCTCAGCTTGAGTTGTTATCTAGAAAGCTGGGGCAGCTGTGTGTGGCCTTCAGTCGGGAGCTGAGAGGAAGGAGGAAGAATGGCAGCAGCTGGGGAATATGGCTGTAGTCCTCCAAGTGTTGAGCAATAAAACTTTTTATTTAGCCATATCTCAAAATACCTTAGCTTTTCCCAATCTGTTCTGAGCACACAGCACTGGTCAACTTGGTATTCTCACTATTTGGTAAGGAAAACTAAAGCCTGAGAAGATCTGTTAGTCCCCAGGCATTCCTCAAAATTTCCTTATTTTGCCAGGCCGTGGTTGGTGAAGGCCTTTAACCCCAGCTCTCAGGAGGCAAGAGGCAGGCAGACTCCTGAGTTCGAGGCCATCCTGGTCTATCGAGTAAGTTCCAGGTCAGCCAGGGCTACAAGAGAAATCCTGTCTCAAAAACTAAACCAAAGATACAAACCAATCCGTATGTTTGAACATTACTTCAAGACACTCGCTATTAGTACATTGTGACCAGATGCCCACTTTGCAAGTGACAAAGGCCGCACAGAGAAAACTTGGCATCAGGCAGGGTGTGCTCGGCCTCTCAGAGGTACTTCATCCTGCTTCTTCCTGTCTCTCCAGGGATCCATTTCTCTCACCTCTTGGTTAAGTACTTGGATAGGCAGAAGTTTGAGTTGTTCTGTGTGTATCCAGACACTGTCCTGCGTGTGGAGTCAGTTCTGCAGCTCCTTGCTGAGGCAGCGCCCTTTGTTTCTGTGCATAGAAGAGCTGGGATTCCAGATGCTGTTGCTTCTATGCTAGTGTTTTGGTTTTTAGGGGGGAGGTTTATACCATAGTGCTGGTGTGGAAGTCAGAGGACAACCTGAAGCAGTCAGTTCTACCATGTGGGGCCTAGGAATGGAATCTAGGTCATCAAGTCTGGCAGAAAGTGTCTTTATCCCTGAGCCATCTTCCTGAATCCATGGGTTTTACATGGGTTTTGGGGATCAAAGGTACTCTGCTAACCACTGAGTCATCTCTCCAGCCCTAAGCAAAATCCTTTTAAATGAACCTTTAAAAAGAGCTAAGCCAGGCATGGTGGCATACGTTGGAAGGCAGTAGAAAGGTCTTGACTTGGAGGTCTGCCTAGGGTACATAGTACAACCCGCCTCAAAAGCAGAAGATACAAGAGCCGCAGGTATAGCTCTGAGATAGACTGTTTGCCCAGTGTATGTGTGCAATGCCCTTGTTCCAGCCCCAGCACAATATAAACAAACGACTCCTGACACATGCTGCTGTGTGCCCCAGACTGTGCATTCGACATCCCCCCCCCCCAGCTTAGGGCGCATGGCACCGTGTGTTGGCTTAGGTACTGGGAAACCGCCACCTCCAGTCACATTAACAGTACAAAGCTTTCTTATTCTGTCAGCATTAGAGGAGATCAGGTTTGAGGGAAGGATTTAATGGACTATTACTTGCTTTGTAGCCAGAGAACCATTTGCAAAGATAGACAGTAGCCTCTCTGCTAAGAATGACATCCTAACCAGTGGTCAAAACAAGTAGAGAACATCTCATGACTTCAAGAAGAGACTCGTCAGCAGGTAAATCAAATTCCATTTTCTCAGAACCTCCAGAGAAAGGCCCAGCCCGGACGGCAACTTGCCGCCTGGCTTCATTGGCACTAATGTAGCACAGGAAAGCTGAACAGGAAAGACTCTCAATGGGCAGGGCACACGTGCTGCAGAGCCTTTTGATTTGTGTGAAATAGGTACCTTTTTCTTTGGCGTTTAAGAATCAGACGGGTCCAGGCGTGGTGGCACATGCCTGTATTTTCGGTATACAACTCTGCCTGCACTGGAGGCAAGGAAAAGAAATCTGGACCATTTCTGAGGTTTCTCAGTGAAGACCTATTTTTAATTACCATCCCTGCTGCCATCTTGCAAATGAGTACACCTTCCCTGCTCCTGGGCCTGTTTTACCACTCCAGTCATTTACCGGGGGTTCTGAGCACACTCAGTTTAGCTGGCACAGCTCTCCCCGGCATAGATATTTTTAACCGTGGTGGATTGTGGCCTTCCAGGAACTGTGAAGCTGCTTTTACAGAAAGGCTCTCTGCACATCTTGGAGTGGGGGGAGCTGGCTGGAATGAGGTGTCTGTGCACTGTGAAGGGATGGTTTCTGAGCTAAGCAGACTTGTGGCCCCTCTACACTCTCTATGGCTTCTCCATCCACATCCCCTAACACCTGGAGCAGGAACTTCAAGTTTCCAAAACATAGCTGCAGAGTAACAAACAGCTATACCTGCTCCCTTAGCAACAGGGACAGTCATTGGGGATTTGAGGTAGGAAACTGTTTACAGCAGGGAAACTTTACTCAGCACAAAAGACTCAAGGGCCAGGGGGATGTTTTCAGGAGAATGCTTATGTACCATGAGCCAGGCGCTGGATTCAATCCCCAGAACCACAAAAGCTAAAACCATAGAAGAATCATGCAGTTTTCAGAAAGTAGCTTGATCCTATGGAATCATCCAGACTGAAAGTTCCAGAATCCTGGCTCAACTTACTCACTGAGCTTTTGTTAACTTCCTGTGCTGTGTGATTCTCCCTTGTGAGATGAGATGCCTCCCGAGATGCCGTAGAAATAAATGAAATCAGTACATTTTTTAAAATCTGTTTTTCTTTTTGCTTTGCTTTAGTTTTTGGTTCTGGAGATTGAACCCAGGACATCACCATGCCAAGCATAAGTTCTACCACTGAGCACAAAATTAGGCTTTAAAATGACTTGTTGGAAAGACTAGACTGTAAATTCTCTCTCTGCTGTTTCTTAGTTACCAATTTACCAAGAGTAACTTAACACTGGGATTCTCTGCCAGCACTAAAATTAGACTCTACTGCTCTTCTTTTCCCTTCTTGCTTTTGCTTAGGAGACGTGGGAGAGACATCTGCCCTGCTAGATCTAGACTAAAGAAAAAGGTTTAGGAAACACTTTACCCAACCTGCTATCATCTCTTCAGAAGATTCCAAATCGGCCCTGGGTTTTGATGACTTGACTCTTGTAGAAATACATCTGAGAAAACCTGGGTGATAGAAGAGGGTAAAGAGAACTGGAATGCTGGGGAGGAAGCTGGCTCTGAGGTCCCGGCTCCCTCACTGTCAGATCACAGCAGGGCCCAGTGGTAATACTGAGCGTGCTGACATCTCCAGGCGTGG